TGTTGTTACTGACCTGGGTATTATAAGAACAAAAGCCATGATTTAAGGTTGTAGAATCTGTAAATGAAGCTTAAAATAAAACACACTGCCGCTTTCTCCGGAAAAATCCTAAATGGAAAATGAGAAACAGGAAGAGAAGGAATTTGTGACCAAACATCTAATAACAGACAGAGGATCTTAGCTTTAGTTGTATGCATACAATGAGTAGGTTGCTACAACACCCCAAATATGGATGGATTTTGACCCACTCATGCTCAAATGCACAAGAGACTAAGATCACCAGATTCCTGTTCAACCATGCGAGAATGAAAACAGCTAAATAGCTACTACTTCTATGTATGTTCATATGTTCCAAGTAACAAACAAAGACTTCCACACATAAAACAAATATGTAGATTCTGCTGCCCAGCCACTACCAGCATTTACAACTAATCACAGACTAGTCCCAAATCTCATTCATCCCTAAGTCTCCCACTCTGTTTCCTGACTGCAGCTCCCAGAAGCTAAGCTTCAGTAACACAATAAAATCAGATGAAAATGCACATAATCTATCAAAATCGCACGTACAAATTGAGACCAAAAGTTAAATCCAACATCAACACAAAATCATAGCAGGGAATGGGGAGTGAAAGGGTGACTGTGCATGGGAAGAGTAATCTTGGAGGGCAAAAGGGCAGGGCTCAAGGACATTGTGGAAAATAATAAATACAAACACTTTACAAGATGAGGTTTTCTGATGCAAGTTAAGAAGGAGCAAAATTTCTTCAATTTCAAAATTGCATGTCATAACCACATACTTAGCTGCAATACTAGGTCACTCTACCATGACAAACAAGGTCTTTGGTTCACTTCGCTCTTTTTGGTACAACTAAGTCGTAGTTGGAGGAGGTCATGAATAATCTAACAACCATGGAAGAAATAAAATTCACAATAACCAGTAACTCTATTATCACAAGATAGATATTGTAACTTACAAGTTCCCAGGCTTCAACTTGTTGGGAAGAATTTTGCAAGAGCTTTCTGCATAGCAAAACCAATATTCAGATTTCATAAAAGCAAAATCAACAAATACATGCTCTTAATGACAGCACAAACAAGTCAAGATCTACTGACCGCACTCCCCGATGTACATCACAGTGATTACAATGACCAGAAACACCATAATTGTCAAAAGTTATTATCTGAGAAGCCAAAAGGAGAGTGAGTTGAGTATAATCTCCAGATAACTTACAATTAACCATGCACATTGCCAGCTACAGTGAGGCACTCATAAGCATAACAACGGCCTCATGCCACATAATTTCACAAAGTAGGAAAAAGGCTAGAAGTAGAGAAGTTGGCCAATAAAATAGACAAAAACTTACCACATCAATGGCTTTAGAATCAACTTCCTCCTTAATAATCATTTCCAATAAATTACAGTTCCAGACCTTGTGAAAACCATCCTACATTCAAAAGCCATATTCTACTAAATTTTTGGCATAATGTGTCACAAGGAAAACAATAGCCCAGTATCAAATCTTGTAAGATATTTCAGACAGGTACCTGCAAATCTGGGTGGTCCACAACCTTCACTCGCTGGGACGGCACCTGCATGAGTAAAAATAATTTCAATGACATGGAAGACCAAAGCCCAAGTAAAATATGAACCCCGGAACTGTTTATCTGGATAGTATGTAGAATATTAACGTTAATCAGGCGACAATAGAAATGTGATGTAGTAGTACAGTTCCATAAAAATGTGGATAGTATGGATGTAAAAGATCTGTGGTCTGAGCACCCAGCTGCATGTTGAATGGAAGTAATAAAATTTCCTATTCAACAACAAAATACCTTCAAGACAACAGATGCTAGGTACAGCTCTTCTTTCCTGATGCCCCCAATACCATCTGCATTACCTACAAAAGAGACAACTTTTGAAACTTTTATATTGGAAAAACCAAATGCTGATGACAGTGTTAAGATTGTTGAATTTTCAATGCCATCTTCTACAGAGGACTAGTTACCACTTCAAATGTTCCCAGACTAGAGCCAGTATAATTAGAAACATCGTATAATTAGATACATATACCCATTCCCCATTATGAGGAAGACAATCAGACACAGGAAATTAAAATTTTCTCTATCTGCAAGCTTCAACCTTTTGTACAGCAAAGCAAAATTGCCTGTTTCAGAAAACATGTTCAGGAAATCATTCGACACGTAGTGAGATTACATATCCAGTCAAATCAGAACATTGTCTTTGCTAGGATACTCAGCTGTGTTTTTCATCAGATTCCAAGCCAGTTTAACCAACCTAACTGAAACATTAGCCATGGTAGAGGAGACAAAGGAAGTTTCTCTGCTTAATTAGGTGTCCTGCTTATATAAGCAGCTAGGAAGTTGCAAGTCTGTAGTAGTGCATTACCAGTTGACAAGCACAGTATATAAACATTATGCCCCCTTGAAGTCAGGTAATTGATTGTTGGTGAAAAGAACCTGCATAGATATCAAGTACTGTTACAAGCATATGGTAAAACCACAAACTTGTGACTCTTAACGTTTAAAAACAGAAAGGACATCATGTTATAAATCACACAAAGTTTCAAACTTTTGTTTTATTCTTGCACTATTACATTCCGTAGTTAGGCAATGTTGCTGGCTTATGACCTAAATAAAATTTATACATGCGATCAAAGTCGGAAAATGTTCAGAATGTTCAATATTCTAAACTTAACCGATGTAACAATTCAACCACTATCAGGTATCCAATAAGCCATTTTCAGCAAAGCCAATGTGTTTTGCGAGGAATAGAACTCTATGAGCTAGAACACAACACAAGCTTCTAGTCCAATTAAAGAATTGCAACAAAAAGTACACAATAAGAATTTTGTAACACAACCTTACATTGTCTCATCATCAGGGTGTGCAATAACCAACAAGACATTTTTCCTTGAAGGCAACCCAGCACCTAAAATTGCAAAATCCAAGAATAAAATTTACTCCTCAAAGACACAATAATTCATTGTCAGGGACAAAGTATTCATCTATGCTCAGAACAAACTTATTACCGATGAAATAGTGATCTTACTTGCATTATCATTCAGGAAGGTGGTCTTGGAATTTAAAGATGAACCCAAGTGTATTTTGCCTAAAGAAACCGCCCAGAGTAATACCAACAAGCCAACAATCACCAGCCACACCATCTAGCAATCCTCCCAAGACAATGCAATTTCACCAAAAGGAGACTGAAAATGCCCAAAATTTGCAGTAGGAAAAGAGGGGGTCATCCTAAATATTCAATCAAAATCAGCAATGCAGTTATCTGATGTTTTTCATCTTAAATATATATACAATCTGTAAAACCAAAAGATTACATAAAGCTAAAAAATCGTTTTGCTAACATTGGCTAGAAAAACTCCAAACAAAAAAAAAACGTAAGTTTTTTTCTTTTATGAAAATCCACATCATATACTTGAGTTGTTCTCTCTTTAGTTTCCTTTGGGCCCATTACATAATAAAGAACCCAAAAAAGAAAAAAAAAATTCAAAAATCATAGTACCAATAATATTCCACAACAATATACTAATTTATACCAATGTTGCTGAAATGGGCTTTCAATAATTCAAGCAAATTTCATGCTTACCTATGATTAAAATACTTGAAGGTACTAAATAGCAATGCAGAAAGAGTGTAATCAATGAAACATAAATAAGTGAAAAAAAAAGAAAAAGGAAAAATTAAATTGATTTGATACCATTCCATTTTCTATACATATGACGATCAGTGATGGGAATTTTATTGAAATGGGTTGTCATAGTTACGACGGGTTCTTACCTTAGACAGGCATTGGGAGTCGGAAAAATTGATTCTTTATCGTTGATGGACACCCGCCGGCGGTGAGTCCGGTGACCGAGCTAAGCTTGGTGATCTAGTTGCCGGAAGAAACGGGTTAACGGAAGAGAGCGATTTCAAGGATTGGGAGCTGAAGTCGTTGAGATCAAAACAACGTGATTTATTCGCTGGGATAAATTGCTTAAATAGTCCCTCAAACTTTAAGAAAATATATTTTGTTCCTCCCTCCCATCTGAGAAGTACTAATCCTCAACTTTAGAATAAAATTATTTAATTCCTTAACATAATTTAAACTGTACAACTTTTGGCCAATATGCAAAATCCCACCTTCAGCTATATTTCTAACAATAAAAATGTCACACTGATATCAAGTCTACGTGGTTTATGCATATTTTTATTTAATTTTTATATTTTTTTCTTGAATAAAAGAACGAATTACTCGATTGATTTCTGTAACTCTCGGGATATATGTTATAACTTGAATATAGCCCTTTTCATAATTTGTGCTCAAACATTTTCTTATATTCTCGAAAAAATCACATTCATTTTTTATGCCTTACATTGGTCAATCAAAAATTTAGGTCTATGGCATACATAGACCATACTCATTTGAATTTGAATCTTGTTTTGAGTCTTATTTCGGAAAAAGATATTTAAGGCCATGTCATACTTAAAGAATTGGAAGGTGAAAAATGAAATTAGAAAACTTCATGGTGTAGTGAAATTCTATTAACGTATGAGTTTTTTTTAATTTTTTTTTAGTAGGAAAAGGTGGGATTTAAGAAACGGAGAGAAGGCTGAGGATTTAAACATATGAGCCATGAATAATACACACAAATAGATTCCCTTGACTGATTGATTAGAGCAAAAAGAATAATGTATTTGTCAAATCATATTTATTAAAAAAAAAAAACTTTAGTTCTTACACTATATAGGTATCACATTTTATATCGAAAAGTTGGACCATAATAAGAATGTATCCTTAAGAGCATGTGATTTGCAATTTACGAATTAATTTATGAGTAAATTTTATGTACATTTACTGTGTATACAGTATACACTATCACAATTGGATATACAACATACATATAAAATTTGAGTTTCAAATTCAAAATCGGATTATATATCATGCATCTAATAGTAAAAATGTATACACTGTTGGTATATAAAAGATTAATCCTTAATTTATTAAACTTTGTCCGAAAAGTACTACTACTAAATAGTAAAATTACATGGATTCAAGATGTAAAATAAAAGGAATTAGGCAATCATCCAACTAGGATCCGAGATTGATATAAATGACATGTTAGATTAAGTGTGGTAAATGTTTTACAATAGGGTGTAGAGATTCTTCTGCGCTTGCCTTCTAATGTTCCCTGTACACTGTAACCAAGAAGATTACAAAGCTCTTACCCCACATCAAGGCAGGGAGAAAGAAAATTCTAACTGAGAATGCTACTAGCACCTGGAACATTATATGTCTGAAACCAGCCGATTCTACGATGAACCACAAAAAGACCAAATCTATGATGGAAATCTGTGATCCATGGCGACAGATACTGCCTGAATCAAAAACATTTGAAACCAGGACATACGGACAGTATGATGATTAGAAGAATTGCTAGTATAATACCAGCCACAATCAACTTTATCTTCATATTCTGCACCCACATTTTTCTTTTCATCTTAGTGCCTTGTTGCCTAAAATCTTGAGCCTGAAACATCAGACAAATTTTCTCATCATTTAAGAAAAAAGAAATTCAAACTAATTTAGGGGTGCAAATGTATAAGATATACAAGTACGTTAAATGGAATTACTTTCTTGTTTAGCTCTTAATGATGATAAGTTCAAACTAATACGTAAACTTCTTAAACTAACCTGCGATCGAAGGTTTTCGGTTTTATCGACTAATAACTCGATCTTTTCTCCACGATCAAGAACCTAAAATCAAGAAACTCAATGTGCATAAAGTGACAGAAAACTTGGTAATTGGAAGCAAAAAAAAAAAAAAAGGAAAAGCATGCATGCAACAAATGAATGCTTATTTTAGCTTTCTTACCTTTTCAATGTTTTCCATCATCACTCCTTTCACTTCAGAAACTTGAGCTTTAATTTTTGCAAGCTTGTTTATCTCTTCTGGATGATCAACACAGTACTTCATGTGCTCTTTCAGTTTTGGCCTACCACAGAACAAGGAAACCTTTGGTAAAGCACTTAAATTAATCAAAAGAAAAAAAAAATTTGTCTGATGTTTTAGTATTCTAAAAACTGATAGTTAAATCAGAGAATTGTATATATGCAAGGAAGCTTAAAATGTCATTTTGTGTATTTATGTGGTAAAATTGTGTGCATGGTTGGAAAAAAAAAAAAAAAAGATCCTTAAAAGAAGAACGAACTAGAAATACTAGAAATGGGAATTACCCAAACTCTTTGTTTAAGCTCTTAGCACTGGCAGTTGATGCTTTTCCTCCACCGTATCTCTTGTGAAAGTCTTCCTTGATCCGCTCTAAGAAGGCGATGGGAAGTTGTCTGCCTGCAGCTTCAGCAGCAACAACGCAATAGGCTGCAGTATCCAATATTTAGTTGCTTAGTACGTTCCTTATGATTAATTATATGTAAATAAATGTGGCATGTAAATGAAAAATGATGCTGCTTAATCAAGAAAAATAAAATAGGAAAAAAAGGTGAGCATTGTAAAGAGAAAACTAACAAGGGAAAAAAATGAAATTGAGATTCTTGAGTTGCTGCTAATGAGTAGCTACAAGAAAAGTTAAAGAAATGATTTACTTTTTCACGCTAGAAAGGATACGGACATGTGGAATAAACACTAATCATTTTACTTATAGTACTTTTTATAATATGATATATACGAGATGAAAAAATTATTAAAAAACGTATTTGTGATGCAATCAGATAATTTCGTTTACAAATAAGAATCTATCCTAATACTTCACAATTACCAAGCCAACAACTCAAGTCCAGTAGAAATTATGTGTTTTTGGCACATGATATCTAGTTGTTCTTAATTAAGAATATGCTTTGAGTTTTAATGCGTGTGTGTATATATTAAAACTCGATGCAACATGCAATACGCGAAATGCATAAGCTCATAAATCTTGATATTGCATGTTCATTTCTTTTCATATTCAAAAATATATCCATGAACATAAAGATTTTGGAAATTTCAAAAGATTTTGTGCTTATAATATGCCTTCTAATTAAGTCATCTCATTCTCCATTTTTTGACATTTACACAGGAAGACATATAGCAGCACGAGGTAGCCATTCCTCGCAAGATTTTGGAAACATCTATCATGACTATTCATAGTTTGAACTCGAAAATTATGTAATAAAAATTTGCCACCCCAACAAATTTTCTTACAGCCAGAGTTGACCTCCTAATCGTCTAATTTTCATCTTTAGCCCCTGCAATGTTCAAATTCTTCGTTCCTGATCACCAATGGCTATATAAACTACAAGAACAAAGGGAAAAAAAAAAAAAAGATGTACTAAAAACTGCAGCATGGATAATGAATGAATAAACGGGGTTGGCAAAATTTGGCTTACTGAATCCATTCTCAACGTGGTAATTGAATGTATGTCCATCACAGTTGTAAGTGAATTTGTTGTTGGAAGCGGGCAGCTTTTGTAGGCATTGAGAGGCAATGGTGGTGAAATTGCCTGTAAACTCTGTGTATTCTGCTAATATTACAGTTCCTCGTGCCACAAAGCTGTAGATCAATGTTTGTTGTCCCATTTTTGTTTGATCAATTCTCTACTATTTGATCTTCATCTGCAAGAAAAACCCTCAAATTTTCATCAATTGAAAGAAAAGGAAGGAAAGTGGTGAAATTTGGCAAGAAAATGCAAATGAAGGTTTGAGAGAGAGACAAGGGTGAAATGATTGGATCAGAGAGAAATGAGGGCTGAGAATATGAAGAGGGGGTCTTTTTCTTTGTTTCATCCTAGAATTGGGGAGAGCTAGCTTAAAGAAGTAAGATTGATGATGTCATAATTTAGTAACGTTTTATTTGGAAAGAAGATTTAATTGATCAGCACCCATCAAAGATGTTCCTAGTTCTTCTTCTCCATAGAGTATAGAGTAAACCTAAATTAAATTTGGTAAAACAAACATGGCCATGGTAACTAAATTATATTTTAACAGAGCGCATGTAAATATTTTCCTTTTTTTTCTTCGTCATAATGGAAAAAAAAACTACTTTTTATCATATTCAATTAAGCCATGGTTCGGTCTTTTCTCTTTAAAAACAAAAGGAAAAATCGTCCAAAACGTCCCTCACATTTTGTAAAATAACTTTTTTCATCCCTCACTTTTAAAAGTGTAATTTTATGTCCCTTACATATTCACATCGGTCAAATTTAGTCCCTAACTAAATTTCCGATCATTTTTTGGCCGGAATCCATCATGTGCAAGGCACGTGATCATTTTTTAAGGGTAAATTTGTCAAATTATATTTTGCATAATCTGATCTATATATAGTCCTCCACATTTTATAAAATAAATTTTTTCGTCCCTCATATTTTATAAAATAATTTTTTCATCTCTCATATTTCACAAAATGAATTTCTCCATCCCTCACATTTCAAAAAATGAATATTTCCATCCCTCACTAATTATATATGTGTGAATACATTTTGTTTAAACACATGTATATGTCTATTTGATTTTGGTTAATAATACAAATAACATAAATATATATATGTGTCTATTTGATTTCACTTAATAATACGAATACCATATATTATACGTGATCATTTGATTTCATCTAGTATTAGTTAGTAAATAATATTGCATTCATTGTCAAATTGGTCAATAAAGCTATTTTCGATCAAAATACAATAAGAATACGCAAATTAAGGTTCTATTGGTAAATATTAGTCATAATCTTACAAAAAGATAAGATAGCCCACAAGTTGGACCCAATTACATACATGTGTTTATGCTATTATTATTAAGCAAAATCAAATAGACATATACATGTGTTTAAAAAAATGTATTCACACACATAATTAGTGAGAAATGAAAAATTCATTTTTTGAAATGTGAGGGATGGAGAAATTCATTTTATGAAATATGAGGGATGAAAAAAATCATTTTATAAAATGTGAGGGACGAAAAAATTTATTTTATAAAATGTGGAGGACTATAGATCAGATTATGTAAAATATAATTTGACAAATTTACCCTTAAAAAATGATCACGTGCCTTGCACATGATGGATTCCGGCCAAAAAATGATCGGAAACCTAGTTAGGGACTAAATTTGTCCGATGTGAATATGTAAGGGATATAAAATTACACTTTTAAAAGTGAGGGACGGAAAAAGTTATTTTACAAAATGTGAGGGACATTTTGGACGTTTTTCCCAAAACAAAATAATTATTCAAAGCAGGCACAATAGAAAAAGCCATGTCTACACTACTCTTACTAAAGTTTGAACTCAATGCAATATAATCATTATTTGTCGAAGAATATACTAAAATTCAACTTGTGACATAGTGCACTAAAAAGAATAAACTTAAAGCATAAATTCGATCATGGCTTATTTCTAACTTTACGCATAAAGTTATCAAAACAAAAAAAAAAAAAGAAAATGATTAGACTTGGAGACAAAAAAAATGAATAATTGCATTCCAACTTTTTTATTTTTATTGACAGAATTGCACTGATAGTCCCTTACAAATTACTCTTTTTTTTGACGTAACGGTAACACGGAGAAAGCCATTGAAGACAGTCATATATAATGACAAATTAGTGTGAGGTAAGGATTGAATGCTTGATCTCCTGCACCACCAAAACTTAAGTGCTTGATGGTGACCATGGCCCTTACAAATTACATATTACTAATATTAAATTTTACTCTCAAGGAATCAAAATTAAATTTTGGTCCCTATGCAATAACAAAATTTAGTCCCCATGCAATAACAAATTTTATATATGGTCCTCAATCACGTTTTCGATCAAATTTTGATTGGAATATGTGTCAATATTTAATAAGCAAATCTGACAACCAACTTAATACCAAATTTCTGACTTAATCAATTATTTGTCCCAATGCCTCTCTACCCGAACTCTAATTTCGCAAACTCAATAACACATACACTCATTTGTCTCTTCCACCACCACTCTCTCCCATCATTCCCCAATCCACCGCCACCACCAACAGCAACACTCACATTGCTACCCTATTTTCCCCATTCTCCTTTTTGGTCTCAATCCCTTTCCTTTTTTCCACCACTATCACCTCTTCCTTTCTTTGGAGGATGAATAGGAAAGAAAACAAGACGGCAGGATGAATGGTGACAGGGAAAGAGAGTGAGGGAGAATATGGCAAAAGAAGGGACTGAGGGAAGAAGAAAGGAAAATGGTGGAGGTGGAGGAGTGAGAAGGGGCAGGCATAGGCAATGGAAGAGGGAAAGGGACGTATGCATTTTTGAATTTGTGAAACTAAATTTTGGGTGAAGAGGAGTTAGAGGAAATAGCGAACTAAATGAGATATTGGGTCAACATTAAATGTGTCGCTAGATTTAGCGTTTAAATATTGACGGCATGATCTATCGGTAACTGATCGTAACTAAAATTTGACAAAAAACATATAATCACAGACAAAAAAACTAAGCATTTTCGGGGATAATTTCAGAAACCTCCCTTGAGGTTTTTGGCAATTTAAGACAGCTCTCCTCACATTTTGAAAATTACACCTACCTCCCTTAGAACATAAGTTTGGGTTTCACCTTGATGATAAAAGACCAAAAACGCATATGAACGCCTAAAATTGCCCTCATCTAATTTTCAAAATATGAATACTCATTAAAATTTTTTAAAAATCAAGAATACACTTGTATGCTACAAAATTATGAGTTTTATTACTTAGCCAATGTCCTGATATTTTCCATCCCATGGTTTTCTACATCCATCTAAATTTTCAAACTCTTATTACTTCTTCTTTTTCCGAACAAACTCTTTATTTTAGATGCCAAAATCCACCATCATAATTCTTACCTTTATAATCTTTACCATTCTATAGGTTTATTTTCTTATATTGCCCACCAAACCGTCAGTCATAAAACTCACAATCCTTGCCTTTTTCCCACTCAACTAGTCAAGCCCCTCAATGACCAAAATTCTTCCTTTTTTGAGTGATAGAAGGTTGCAATTTAATGGTCATGGGTGAAACAGTTTGGTCACAATATGTACCCTGGTAAAAAAGAATTGTTTTCTTTTTTTTTTTAATCTTTTTTATCAATGGCTTGTCTTTGAAAAAATTATGAAGGTTATTATAGTCACTCTCTATCATCAAGGGAGGTAAGTGTAATATTAAAAACCTCAATGGAGCTCAATGAAATTGTTACAAACCTCAGGGGACATTTCTGAAATTATCCCTTTTTTATGGGTTAAAAATCACCATTTGATTATGAAAGACTAAAATTTATCACCCGCAATATGTGAGGGACTACGAGTGCAATTTCCTTTTTTCTTTCGCGCCAAAAAGATCCCCTTTCCTTTATTCCGCCTACACTCTCCCCTCCACCAAAACACACACTAACACACACTAAACCCAAGGAAAAGAGCCATGGATATGGATTTTCCAGACCTACAAGAGCTAGAATGGCTTGAAGCCAACAACTCTAACTTCCAAGACGACGTCGATTTCGACCTTGATTTCCCTCCAGAACCTCCATCTCCACCATCCGAGCTCGAGCCACTACGGGATTCACCTGAACCCAAAATCCCTTCTTTTAAACCCACTTTATCTCTCCCACCAAAACCCTCCCCAATCAAAACCCAAACCAACCTCAAGAAAAGATTCCGACCTGATTTGAGCCCGGATTTGATTGACCGTGGAGATGGGCGTCCGACTGGTGACCCAGAGGAGAAGCGGAGTAGAGTTGATAATGCGGACGATGAGGAGGATGAGGATTGGCTTAGGTACCATCCCCCGCGGCCGGTGGCTGGAAATGTGGATGCTGGCTTGGCAATGTCGGAGTCAGAGGAGGTGGAGGAGCGGGTTTTGTCCAGGTATGCGACGGAGATAGACGGGGATTACCTCCCGATTACGGGGTTGGATGGGGAGAGGGTTTATGCAAAGATTTGTGGGGTCGAATGTGAGGACAGAGTGAAGAAGTTAGATATGAGGGGCGATCATAATGGTCAGTTCTTCTTCTTCTTCTTTTTAAAATCTGTTTCTAGTTATTTAAGCAAGAAAGTTTGCTTCTTTTTGTTTACATGTAGCTTTATCTGTCTTTCTGTTGAGAAATCAATGCAAAAACTACCAAGAAAGTGAATTGAAAAATATGACAATTGATATTGATGTCTTTGAGAGTTTCTGTTTGGAGAAATTCAGGATCATGAGGTATTTTTCTTGGAATGTTTTGTTATGAAAATATGTCTTCTAAGGTGGGGTAAATACGTTGCGAAAACTAATGAATCCTTAACAATTATGGATCCTCCTTTATTCTGCTCTGAATAAAGTTGCTAGAGATAGAAAACTGGATGCACATGAATGCAGGATCTAGTTGGTTGCTAATGAGTTGGTTCAATGAGATATGGCTGATGCTTTGCTGATGGAAATTTCTGTTTGTTTCATTTGTGTTACAACATGAATAGTTTTGGTATTCAGTAAGCAGCAAAATGCTGGATTGAGTTTGTTGAGACAAAAGAGAAATTGAAAATGAGATTTATTTCAGTAAAACACAGAAAGTCTGAAGGTCAAAATTGTCGCTTGTTAGTGAGCCAAAGGTAAAACTTGATACTTTTTTCGAATCGTTAGTTGGCCATGTGCAGGATGATGTTTCCAGAAAGAAAATTAATGGGCTGGAACTATCAGCTTTTTCACCTCTCTATTTGTTGAAGAGAAATAATCAAAGGATTGAAATTTAGTGAAGTCCAGAAATAAAATGAGTGGTTATTATATTTGAATTTGTTTTATGTCCAATTTTGCATCAATCATTAAACATGAGTACTTTTTTGGGTAGAACAATAGTTTTTCTCGTAGGCTACGCCTGAGAACTTTCTACTTTGAGATGGTGTAGTATTACATACAAATGGTCATCGAGCCTTCTAAAGCAGCATCTTACTTTCTGTGACACTATAAAATAGAGGAAAAAGGTGGTCCTATCTGCAACTTGGTTCATGTTTGTACCTTATTGAATAGAATAGCCTTTTAGTGAATGCGCCCAAAGATTTTAAGGAGCAATTAGGCAGAATTGCAGTTATTTACACCATTTGTATCAACTCTATGATTTCGAGCATATACCTGATACAGATCTGGAGTATGGAAACATCAGCGTCATAGGGAATAGCATTATGTTAGACATAATAGTTCACAAAATGTAGCAAGCTTCTTCTAGAGTCGGAATCTTTAATGACATTTTCTTTGTAAGTTACTAATCTAGACATTATATACACCATCTTGATGGGGTATAGTATCTGTACAGGGATTAGTGGATATGGGTCATTCAGTTTTACAGATTCCTGCAATTTCTTGTAGTATTACAGTGTCTACATATTTAAGCAAATGAGTCCTTGTGTCGCTTCAAATACTGGGATATGGGAATTTGCTTCTTGGATATCTTTATAAGGAAAGTTGCGGCTTTAAACATGGTTATTTGCACTGCATTGTCTTTCATTTGCTGCTTTTGGTTGGTTTGTACAAGATTGTTGTCATAATTTCTGTTCTGCAGAAACATTGTACTGGATTTCATCGTTAATGCCGTGTTTATCTTTTCTGCCATACTCACTATGACTTCATTCAACTGCCATTTGTCGGTAATTTTTGCTGGAAGAACAATAGAAAACAATCCTAGCACCTTTTCAGGTCTCTCGCGGGAACCTATTAGAGTTTTAATGCAGAGAGTGGAGCAAGGTGAATTCTCAAAGGTATCTTTCCTACTTGGTCTCATGTTCTTAGACATTTTCAAGGATTGTAGAGTGTCTCAACAATTTTATTATTCCACGAATTTGATGAAAGAGGAAAATGTTAGGCATAGGAAGGAGTATAACATATTTTCACTTTCTTCAGATAATGCTGAAAGTAAGTGTTTCATTTAGCCTAAGTTGCATTCTCCTCTCTCTCTCTCTCCCCTGATCTCTACTGTACTGAAGAAGTGAAAAAGGAAAAGTAATGCTTGTGTATTGAGTTTGCCACTTTCCTTTGCATTCTTATTCATTATATCTGAATGTGAAGATGAAGATGAAATTCCATGTATCAGTTACACCTTTTTATAGAAGTTTCGTTTCTGTGATCCTGTTTTGCTTAGGCTTTATTTGCTCACAACGTAAGGGCACGCTTTGCCCTTATGGGAATTTTGGTCTAGTAGGACCTAAGAGGTCATGATGTTGATACACAAAAATGTCCTCTTTCATTGACTAGCCCTAAGCTTGTATTGGCAACCTCCTCACATGGTAGGTTTGTTCTTTTTCTCTCCATCAGAGAAAATGTGGTTGATGTTGCTTGTGATTTTTATTCACTTTTGGACTCCTGTTTCTTCACCCCCTCCCCCATTTGAGAATTTCATTAGGCGATCTTTTGCGTTGTATGGAAGCTCATAGTTCATTTATGTGATGTCTTTGCAGGCTTTGCAAGCTAGTGTTGAAGTTGAAAATGATGTCAATTTGTCACCAGCACCAGTTGATCCAGAGCAGCTTTGGGTGGACAAATATGCCCCAAATACTTTTATGGAGCTTCTCAGTGATGAACACACAAATCGTGAGGTATAAAGCATCTGTTGGTTTTTTGTTCACTTTTGCCAATAATTTTCATTATGGTAATGGAGCGTTATCTGGTTACTTTGTGAGTTATTATCTAGATTGTTCATATAAGCCAAGGGTAATTTGGATACTGTACCCTATTGGTCTTGGTCTCAAATGTTACCCTGCTGCAGGTACTCCTCTGGTTGAAACAATGGGATTCAAGTGTGTTCGGATCTGAAATTAAGAGTACAGCAGATGATACTTTGTCTGCTCTGAAACGACATTCCTCTGCTGTCAAACACTCGAAGTTTCATGCTAGGAACTCTTTTGGAAGTAATCGAGAAACCAAATTGAGCAAAGAAAATTTCAGAACTCATAATTATCAGAATCAAGAAAAAAATCAATCAAATGATATTCAAGAAATGTGGGAGAAGAAGCAGAAAACAGTTGGTCATCCAGAACAAAAGGTGTGTTTTAATGCATAATATCTTTATTTGCATCATATTACAACATGCAACTGTCATCACTGCGCTGTATAAGAATGTGGCTCTGACGGGTATAATGTGAATGAACTCAAACTTAATTTGAAGAATAAGATTAGCCTATATAAGGTAATTGTGTTGGTTGAGTATTGGCCTGACCAATTGATAGAAGCTTACCTGAGTATTAGTCCAGAGCAAATGATGAGTGATTTAGGAGTTTCTCCCAATCGTCATAAGCTATTAAATGCGAGTAATTTGTGTAGGAAAGGGTACTAAACTGAAAGTGCATATTTATAGCTTCAGGAGGATCATTCTCATCTCAACATATTCTTAGAGAGGCTAATCAACTCGGGAAGCCAAATGGAGTTGGGATCCTTTCTTTTTTTTTTTTTTTATTTCATTTTTTCCCTTAATCCTTGCCTTCTCAATCCAATGGTCTGGTTAAATTAGGTTTGAAATATACATTGTTCTTAGCTGTGTTCCAGGAATTACTTTCTTTTAAGAAGCTAAGGTTCATGTTGTCTTCGATGGTTTGTGATCTCATTTCCAATGAATACAATGTTCCCAATCCAAGTCAAACCACACATCAAAAAGATGGATTGTTTTTCTTTCCTTTTACTAGTAAAAAAAATTAGAATTTTTTTTATTAATCTTGATATGGGATCATGTTGTGCATAAATTCTTCTTTGTCTTTGAAAACGCTCCATACCAGAAGCTGGAGGGCTTGTGTAGTATGGTGGTCTATTCTTCTGATTTGACTTCAGTTGGTTTCATCTCCTGTATTTAGATGGCCTCAATTGATCTATACAATGTTATTTTTATTTTGCTTGCTCATTTTTCATAGAGCACAATAGTGAAAATCTTTTGATGTACCATCCAACTGCCTCTAGGTCAGTTATACCTCATACAAACTGCTTTTCGCCATCTATTCCCCAGTTGGGCAAATTCTTAAACTGCTTTTCAATATCTATATTTTGGTTGCATGTCCTTATGTTTCTTTATTCATATTATTCCTGTTTTATGTTTCATGTTGATACTTATAGCTGAACATTCTGATTTTATCAGATTCTTTTGCTCTGTGGTCCTCCTGGCTTGGGGAAAACAACATTGGCGCATGTAGCTGCTAGACATTGTGGGTACCGCGTGGTGGAGGTTTGCAACTTTTTCCACTCAATTTGTTAACATCAATGATATGATATCTCTGACTTCTATTGCTTATTTTGATAATCAACACAGACAAACTCGAATTCTCTAGATCTAAAGAGGTTGACATTTCTTTTATGCTGTTGAAACTATTACATTTCCTGATTTTGGGATGCTAGGTGTGGTCAACAAGCATACATTGTGCTTCATGGTACAATAACTAATTTGCTTTGAACTGATAATCACTGTACAATATATTCTTAAGCTCCTCTAATTGAGATTCCATTGGTGCTAACTATGGGGATTAATGTGTTTCAGGAGTCCTTTTTGAGGTTATGTTATGTGTTCTTCAGAACTTTTATGGTTTCTCTGGCTGTTCTTTATTATTGGATATCTTGAAACATAAATGGAGGTTTAACTGAAGAGGTACACATTTCAAAGGGATCTTCTGCTCATATTCCAGAAAGGAAGACAGAGAGCAATGGAAAATTAGTGCTGCAATAGCACTTTCAATTTTCATTGGCACGTGTTACAAAATACTGAATGTTTTGTTGGCCACTAGCATCTGCTTTACCTTTTATTTATTAATCTATCCTGGTGCTTTATCTGTAATGAGACTTCCTAACTTTGATTAGGAACTACCTAAAATCACAGTTTATAATCTTCAGAGACTCTTGTATTATTCCTCGTGCAAAACTTCTTGAGTGATAATTTTTCATTCACTAGAGAATGCTTTTCACTACAGATTAATGCTAGTGATGATCGGTCGGCGTCAACAATTGAAACCAAAATCCTTGATGTGGTTCAGATGAACTCTGTAGTTTCTGATTCCAAGCCAAAATGTTTGGTTAGTTTTTGGTGTTCACAACTTATTTCTGAGATTTCTGAGTAGAGTATACTTATTTTTCCAGTGTTTCCTTCCACATTGTCTAACAGGGTATATGAACTTTTCAGATTATTGATGAAATTGATGGTGCTCTTGGTGAGGGCAAGGGTGCTGTTGATGTCATTCTAAAGATGGTAACTTTCATAATCCTAATATCTTCTTTATGTTGTTAAACCTGTCATTTATTTGCAAGGGACTGCATGCTTAATCAGTCATTCACTTGCCAGCCAAATTAGCAATTTACTTTGTAATCTTCGTTAATTTGTAGAGACAATCATTTTGGATAATTGATGATAGAAGCCTTATGGATATTTTTTTAACAGCCATTTTGCAATTATCTTGTTATCAAGCTCAGATCAATTAACTTATTTCAAAGTTGTGGAGGTTTAGCAGATTTGTGATTTGAATGTGATCTGCATATTTGGATAAGTCACATATTGTAGCTTCTTAAGTTGCAAACTATGCTTAGTATAATGCATGTTGAGACTTGACAGAATAGTCAATCTTGCTCAGACCGAACTGTATAGGTTTTAAGTTTGCTAGGTCGTTCCAGGATGTCTGCTTGGAGCCTCGGACTGATGGAGTTGTTCACCACTCTGAACCATAATTCTGTTGGTTATTTCTTATTCCAGTTATATGAATCCAAGACTGTGTTTTGCTCTGTAAATCCTTATTTTTTCAAATTTTATTCAGTTATTCTAGACTTTTTCTGTGCTTGGTTACTCTCAGCCAGAATCTGAAAAAATATTCTGTGCCTATCTGAGACTAGCCATTTGGAGTATTCTAAGTGCTCACATATCTTATGCAGAAATTGCAGAAAATTTTAGCCTATTTTGTCACTTCTTTTGAACTTCAGCATTCACTGTAGGCCTGTATGAGTTTCCGTACAGTTTTGGGATGGAAATATTTTTAACTTCTTGCCTTCAGACAGTCTAATCCAACGCAGATAATAAAGACAAATATTGGAGGATGTGAAGTGGGAAAGAAATATACCACGACACAGATCCCATCCTGTTTTTTTTTAAGGGTCATTTTGGATACTCTATTTCTACACTTTCTTATGCCATTCTTTTACCACTATAAGAAACATCACAAGTGTAACATGCTAATATTTTGAGAAATAGCATATACAAAATATCTAAAGGATGCATCTCCTGGACTGCAGTTAGTTTACCTGTTATATCTCAGGTGCATCATACACAATGCCAATTTTTGGATCCATTGCTATTGCTAATTCATACTTGCAAAAAGGTGGCAATTCTTTTGACATTGTTATATGGATAGGTAATCAGAATTTGGTAAATTAAGAGGTTGCACTAGTGAGGGGCTAAGGATATTTATCTGATTTACTCTGTCAAATTTTTCAAAATGTAGTTTAATAGTTTAACTGGAGAGTAGTTAATGCCTCTAAATGGCACTCAGAGATGATTGTTCACATTCAGTAATATGTGATTTTGTATACCAACTATTCATGCTTAAGCTGTATATTCTTTTTAACTAACACTGTTCAAATCTTGTTCCTGAAGGTTTCTGCTGAAAGAAAATCTGATAGTGGAAAAGAAATTAGAGGTCAAGAGGAACATTCTGGACCGAGATCTTCCAAGAAGCAGAAAAACACATCCTTGTTAAGACCTGTAAGCTTATCCTGACCTTGAGTTCTAAGTTAAATTAGTCTCTTCATACTGATATTGTTAGTACCAATATGCAGGTGATTTGTATCTGTAATGATTTATATGCACCTGTCTTAAGGCCACTGCGTCAGGTGGCAAAGTAAGTATCTTGACGCTTCATCAATGAAATTACATGGTTTTGATTGAACTTATGCTGAAATTAGTGGATTATTTCAATTCTCAAAAATTTTCATCCAAAATTCTCCTAATATGCTTTGATCAAGTCATCCTTACATCCATCGTATTACCCATGGTAAAACTTTGACTTTGAAAGCAATGGGGGATAAGATGATTCACTTGCAACATGACTAAAATACTGCAATCTTATTTATATTACGTCTTATCTTGAAATGAATTAGTTATAAGTATGATAAGATTCAAAAACTTGTCAGTAGAGCCTTCCTGTGTCCCTTAGATCTAAGAATTAATAAAAGCCATTTTTCTTCAAGCTTTTCTCTTTGGTATTTGCTGGATTCACTTGCCTTTTAGTGCCACAATCTTATCTAATTAACCACGGCTAATCAAGGTGTTTGATTCTTAAATTTTTATCAACTTGTTACTTAGTTTTCAAATATTTTGCTAGTTCTTTAGATCTGTTAAACTTGGGAGGTGAGTTTTTACTCTTTACTTTTAATTTTTTGAATTTCTAAGTGAGTAAGATACATTTTAGTGTTGCTATGTTTTTCATCTTTATATTTTTTATTTTCAGAACTCTAAATAGAATATATTTCAAATTCTTGTTACTTCATGTGATAGATATGCTCTTTTTGACTATAAGAAGGTTTGTATGAATAGCAGCACAATAACTGGAAGGTCACCAAGACTTGGCAGAATATAGTGATGAACACTAGTAAAACAGTTGTGGTGTAAACATATGGAAAGATTTTCTATATAACCTTTTGCTTGTTTCCAAACCCCATGAATATTATGATTTCTTTTTGAAGAGTTGCTGCATGAAACTTACACTTGTTTGCTAACTTTTGGTGCAAGAGAAAATGTTTTATATGAAAATATCCTAATATTGTTTCAGTACTAAAAAAGGAGAGAACATTCTGTCTCCAGGTTTAAAGAAATAACACGCTCCAATACTTCATGGTTCAACTCGAATGTATTAAAGGAGCAATATGGGTTGTCTGAATACTTTATCTCTTCAAGGCTAAGCAACATTATTTAATCGAACCTTCCTAATTAATAGACAACCTCAGTAGGTAGCATATTATCTTCACTTGACTACAAAATTATAAAGGTACATTCTAGATAGTACTTGCCCCTTTGTTAAATTTCATTCCGCAAACCCTTTTTTTTTTTTTTTTGGTTAAAGCCCATGACCGCTTATTTTATTAGTGTTGTTTCGAGGACATGAGCTGCTTATTACTTAGTCAGATATTCCTGGACAATGTTTACTCATGCAAAATACTAATGTTAATATGGCTGAAACACTCTCGTGCATATAGTTTCTCCAAATGCAAAATTTAGCTGACTAGCTCCAATGAGAATTTGAACAGAAGCAAAAAACAAAGAACTGGCTTCCAATAATTATACCTTGCTTAGGTCAATCATGGATTTTAGCTGATATTGGAAAGGCCTTTTGTCACATTCAAAAAGTTCTAGAGAGTGATATTTTTAGAGTTAACTAACATCTTTGATTACAATTCTAATGATCTTTCTGTTCTTCAATTCTTTTTCAATTTTCATTGCAGGGTTCAATCATTTGTGCAGCCAACTGTGAACCGTGTTGTAAACAGGTCATTTTTTCATGATGCTGCTGAATGATAGGTTAACTGGAGTCATCTTCTTGTGCTAACTGACGCTATTCTCTATTTTTTCTGGCATTATCCTTGAATTGTGGTGCTATTTATGGCTCTTTCAACCAGCTTGTTTTAGAAGTTTAATTTGGACCCCATGTTGATTAACGGGGAGAATTACTGTAAGGAAAGTCTCTATTTAAAAATGTATTCAGAAATTAGCTGATAGATAGAATTGTTGTACAATCACTATTTTACCTAAGTATTTGCAGAGAAATTTCTCTGTGAAAACAATAAATAAGCAACTGTTAAAAGCATCTAGATGGACCAAACCAAAATTCACATGAATTTGGCTGAAATTTTATGTGTTCATTGATATGGAATAGAGAATTGCATGGTTTTTCTAATTTAAACTGGTGGTAATCATACAAGAAGGCTTTCTTTTCTTACCTTTAACCTTTTTAATTTCTTTTTGCTTTAGTCATACTTCTATTAGTTTCCCTTCTGTTATATTGTTTTGAAACTACAAACGTCATCTTAAATGTTGGAGATCACCCCCAATCATTTCCTTTAGGAACTTTGTTTTGTATGCACAAACACATCGACGCATGTATGTGCATGTCATGAGATAAGCTTCGCATCATTGACCTGAATGATCTTCTCTAGTTTGCGGTTTTGGTTTGAGTTCTGAAGTTCCATCTGTTAATCTCTATGTTTGACCAATTGAGTAACCATAATTGAGTTGCCAATTTTCATTTTTCTTACCTGCTGCCGCCACTGGCTGAAATAATTGTAGGCTCAAGTATATATGCAACAAGGAAGGGGTGAAGACAAATTCCATTTCTCTAACAGCACTGGCAGAATATACTGGTGTGTCCCATTCACTAAAGCAGAGCTTTGAGTTTCATTGTTTATACCACAGTTATATAGAATTTACCATAGCTGCCATTAGTTGTAAATGCAAAAATTGATAGAGACTATGAGTTGATAAAGTATAACAGAAAATTTAGATCAAGTTGACAAAGCTGTGATGTAATTTGATACCTGTTAACACCTTTCTTTGACGTGTCTTGTTAAGGCATCCGATGCAAAATCATATACCATAAGTAGAGGGAACTGGGGAGGTGGTCAGGTTTGTTTGTTTGGCTTGAACCAAAATGCAGTTGATGGAATAGATCTTTAATTATCATAAGATGGTAAATCTTTATCACCTCGTGTTTTATGTGCAAGTATCTTGGGCTTTAGCTTACAGGCATTGCATATTTCTGAAATCGAAAATGTTCTTGAAGCTTCTGATTAAATGGGATAGGATATTTATTTGACTTTATATGTGGTAAGTTTTCATAAAATGGTCTGGACGTAGTTTATAACTGTGTCATCATTGTCAGGAAATTTAAACATTAGGAACCATTGGCAGCCATCTTTTAAACAAAATGCACTGGTAATTTGTCCTTAAAGCTCATTAAGGACGTGCCATTACATTTGCTTCATATAATTTCCCATAAGAAAGGCTTCATTTTGCGCTACACTATTGCTAAATTGCTAAAGGGCAAGGATAGGTCAGCTACTTAAGTGTTGATTTTGCTAAAAGGAATTCAGGCATGCTGCCCCAAAAATTGCTCTTAAAAGGGCCTCCATAATTGAAAATGGTACAGTGAGTAGACCTTCCTAAAAGATGGATTTTTTAAATCAAATGATGTGAAGGGTAAAATGTCATGAAGCATAAGACCCAAGCCACGTTGTAGGTTCCATGAAGAAAGAAAATCAGAAGTGCTTTGGTTTGGGTTCGAAGCACTTCTGAAAGATTTGGGGGCACAGTTTTTCTTTTTCTACATCAGAAGTGCTTTGTTTTGGGTTTGAAGCACTTCTGAAAGATTTAGAGGCACAATTTTTCTTTTTCTACCACACCCGCCTCTTCAAATCTAATGATTTGTGATTGGCAAATTGATTTTAACTTGCACATACTCTTTATGGACTATTTGGGTGAACTAAATTGAGTATACCACAGATGAGACAGCAGTCCAACTAAAAACAACCAGATGATTCTTGAAAACAGTAGCTAACTACTCTATTTTGGTCAACTATCATATACAATGTATAGAAACTTTCTTCAAATGATTCTTGAAAATAGTGAAGTACTTTGTTAGGCCTGGCCTCTCCATGGAAATGAAAGGATCAAGCATCAAAGGTTAAGTTATAACCACCAAAGTTTGTCTTCAGAGAACCAACGGACAATGTGAATAAGTGACATTTTGCGCTTTTTAACAGTTCTACTTTGACAGGTTCTTCATCATAACTATTTGCAACAAGCTACTAAAAGTTGATGGCAAAAGGATGATAATATGAACTTTGATTAGAGCTCAGTAATATGCAATTGCAGTATCTGGAAATATAATTAATTTAGGGAACAGATGGGTAGTATTAAACTGTAATATGAAACGAGTTGGAGATACAGAAGGCTGATTATCAAGTTCATCATAACTAACACCACTAGCTACTTATTCTAGGATTCTTCCGTAAAATGACATTAAAAGCCTCACACATTTGGACTGTTTTGAAAAGCAAAAAATAAATGCCGGAAAAACTAGTTGGATAAGGTGAAAGAGATATTGCTAAACTTTAAGGCTTCTTTTACATCCTGATGAACTATTCCTCCAAAGTGTCCTCAACTATCACCTAAGCTACCAGAACCATTAAATAAAATTTTTCTTCCACCCAACTACTTTTAGAAAATGAACAAATGAAGGACTATCAAAGAACTAGAACAAGGCAGTTTCAAAAGCTGAAACCAGATAGATCTAAAGTTATAAAACCAAAAGGAACAAACACCAAACTATAGGCTGTCTGACCTCTGAAATTGTTTAAAAGTAACAAGAAAATCTCAGTCAATACGTACTTTCTGCAATAAACGTCCTCTTGCAAACAAAAGTATTCAGAATAACACCATCCAACTTAGCATATTCCAGATATGTGATACACAATTTACAGTCAGAACCAAAAATTGAGTTGTTACAGGAAAGTCAGAAGCAAGGGAGGGAGGAGATCCTCACCGGCAAGTGGCAGAAAAGATGATCATTAGCTCTCTCCCCTTATTTCTGCAGCCTTACTCATAATAACGCGGCTACTCTCCTCAATGAATAGAGGGGAAACCAAGCTCTCAGCATACATATTCACTTCTTCAACTCCATTTATCTGACGATACTTGAATGTATTGCTCTGTGGATTGTACAGAACCAAACCCGAACCTAAGACGAGCAGAATTTCACCATTCTTTAACAAGCAAACAGGAAAGGAATACCTAGATTTTTCAGGATCATCTAAATAGGGCACAGAAACCACTTTACTCCAAGAATCTCTAACTCCATACTCCTTCATAACCCACACATCCACACGAGTCCACTCATAATCACAAAGCACAGTCAGGCAGCCTCCGAGTACTCCAAAAGTCCAATCATACACACCATCCCCGTACTCTGGCCGCTCAACTTCTCCATAAGACTCATTCCCCAAATCAAGGCTCACAATTTTCCAACTGTGGTTCGAATCAAAACCACGACTGGCAGCCCAATGGAGCTTCCCATTTGCATATTTCCCAGAATCATCCAGTGGAACACCACCCTTAAAATTCTCAATCCTCATCCACGAATCATGTTTGAGACTGTATACTCTAACCTCAGTCTCATAGTCATTACCACCACGGAAAACACAGAATATAGCAACTACTTTGTAATCATCATTCAACATATCATACCCAAAACCGAAAATTATATAACAACCATGCTTCAATCTAATCGCCAAATCAGGCAATTTCTTGTATTTTCTAATAGCGGGGTTCCACAGGAACAAATCATTTTCTTCAATAGCAATGCAAACCAATCCATCACAAGAACCCACAACCCAAACTGACTTGTGAGGACTCTTCATCGGATAATCAATGTCAATTACCTGAATACTGCTCATTTCCACATTTAATGCAGAACGAAGAGAACACTGCTTGAGGTGGGAGTGGGAATTTGGAGGGAGAACAGTAAAAATAAGACCATGGTGCCTAAAATCATCCTTGTTTGCTGAAATCCTGAGATGGGCTTTGATGAAATGGGGGTTTGAGGTCAAAGAAAGCCAGCTTTTTGATACACACTTGAATTTAACAAGGGATTTGACCGGGAGCCTTGAAAGGATCTCAACCAGAATTTCATGAGGGAAGTCTGGGAAAGTCATTGATTCGGAAGATGATTCCTGATCCTGATTGGAAGTAGAAGCAGACGGATGTTGCTCTTCTTCCTCCATTGGGTGATTGATTTTGGTTTTTTTGGCCGGATGATGATGATGAGGTTCTTGACGTGGCTCTGGTTTTGATTTGGTTTCCATGCTGATTGATTGAGTGTGTGCACTGTGTGAATTTCTGATATTTGTTTAAGCTGTGGAAACTGTGAGCAAGAACCCCCACCTGTACATCAACTTAGTGAAGCTAATATTCATTCTGCCCTAATTTGGGAGATAAACGTGAATAAAGACAAGAATGGAAGACTTTTGGTCAGCACACTTTTTTTTTTTTTTTTTTGAAAAGAAGAAGTTTTTTTTTTTTTTTTAAAAAAGAATATATAATAATGTTGTGTGTATACTCGTGTGTGTGTTTCTCTTTTCTACTACTTTCCTTTTTAGTAATAACAACAAATTCAGAAGGAAAAGAGGTTAATTAATCTATAATTTTAGGTTTAGGGCATGTCACCAGCAATTGCGCAAGGCATGTTACTGGTTCAAATAAGATTTTCAAGCGATGTCAAGTGTTCAGTTAATTTAAATTATAATCAGACGACATCACGTAATAATTTAAATTAGCTCGACATTTGATATAACTTCCTATGGAAAGACACAAAGACGTTAAAAGGAGGATACACCATGTAGGATCAAGGATGGAATAGAGTCACTCAACCGAAGCTAAGAAGAGGATTGCGAGTTAAAAAGCTGAAAGTGGTGAATAAAGCTGTGCTTGCAAAGCTGAGATGGGGAACTATCAAACAGAGGAACCAACTCTAGGCTAAGGAGATTCATGCAAAATATGGGCAGCAGGGAATCATTGCAGATTTCAGGAAAAAGCAGAGTATAGGGGTTGCAGTGGAGGATAGGAAATGGGCAAAAGATCAAGTTCTGAACTGATATCTGGCTCAAAAGTGAACCCTTGAGAGAAGTAACTACCTACTTGCAACATCCCTGAAGAGGAATTGAACAGGAAAGCAGGAGTGTACTGGGAGGAAGAAACTAGATGGAAATGGGGAATTCTTAAGGGAGTATTTGTTGAAGTAATAGCTTGTGTTGTTAAGTTTAGAGCAATGCGTGTTCACAATTCTCCAAAAAACCAGACATTCAAACACGGGTGCACGAACCAAATGGGCAGTTTTCTACTAGACCAGCATATGACTGGGGAATTCAAGAACTGAGTACATTAGAAGAATGCAAAGCATGGGAAAAGATTTGGAAACAAAACAGATTGGCAATGGATAGTATCTATCAAGGGGAAATAGAGACAGCACTCCATGTCCTCAGAGATTGTCAATAGATATTTGAGACATGGAAAAGGATGGTACATCCAACTCATTGGAGAGATTTCTGGAACAAAGACCTAGTGGGATTGATCACTTGGAACTTTGAGTGAAAAACAGATTGGCAGGATAGAAAATGTGGATTAGTAGCTGAACTTTCAACTTATCATACACCATGCATGGGCAGCAAGAAATGATGACTGTCAGGGAAGAGACTGCGAGGGAAATTTGAGGATAACAGCTGATAATCTACTATAGCAAGCCATTCAAGCACAAAATGCGGTGGAAAAGGACACCACAAGTTTTGACAAGGAAATGAGAATGATCAGCTAGAGTATACCCCAACAGGAGGGGTCAAACTCAATGTAGATGGTGCATCAGCAGAGATCCAGGCCATGCAAGAGCTATGGACTACTACAAGATGAAATAAGCTTTTGAAGGGGAGATTTCTCGGCTAATGTAACAATTGCAAGTAACACGGTAGCAGAACTTCGGCCTGTACTGTGGATTGAAGCTAGCTTGGGAAGTAGGACATAAAGAAGGTATTGGCTGAATCAGACTCTTTAGCTGCCTTGCATCTGGTGGAACAAAACCCAACTATAAGCCCTCACACCAACCTTTTACAGAAGATCAGACAACTGAAGGCAAGAGAATATGACTGCAGATGAACCACATCACAAGGAGAGGGGAAATGGCTGTGCAGATTTCCTGGCAAAAGGAGGTTTCATTTGAACTTCCAGCCTGCAATTGAGAAATTTAAAACACCTCCTAAGAGATCAAGTTACTATTGGCTACAGATGTAATGGGAGTTGCTATCCCCAGATTGATGATGATTTTTTGGTAGGCTACATGCCTTCCCTAGGACCAAAAAAAAAAAGAAGATTGATCTTTTATTGAAAATATGAGAAAATTTCCGAATTATCTCAAATTATTCTAGCATTGTATTGTTATACTACACAAAATATCAACACTAGATTGGTGAATATTATTATAATTATCAAAATAACTATCACTTTGTAGTTTGTTTCCGCTAAATTAAACTGGGTCCTCTACGTTGATTCTTTTTTTTTTTTCAAAATTTTTTTGAGCCGTGTGCACCAAAATGTGCATGTACGGTTTCTAAGAAATATACCTATACATTAATCAACCAACTTATTGAGAAAGTTTACTTTTTTTAGGTCTATCAGTTGATAGCGAGATTTCAAATCAACTTATTGGTCTTATGATATATCTTAATATCGAAGATGATACCAAAGATCTGTATTAATTTATAAACTCTTCCGGCTAATCTCGGAGTTACTGTCTATGAAACTATGCAATTTGTATGACAAGACTCTTCCTCCTTAGACTCCGTTTGGTTTGTAATTTTTTAGAGAAATTTTTTTTACATTTTAGTGATTTTTTTTACATAATTTTTAATAACTTTTTTAACTCATATACACATTTTAAAAAAAATACATTACAATAATTTTTTTTCCCCAAAAACTCACCAAAAAAATGCAATCCAAACGGTTCTTTCAGACTCTTCCAACTTCCAAGACGTCAGAAATTTTCCCTTCAATCCTACTGACCAAACACATCCTAGTCTCAAAAGCAAAAATTGCCCCCTTCACCAAATTTTTCAATTTTTGCCGCCAAGAAACGGGAAACCCAATGACTGCTCGGTTTCCAAACCCCAAGCTAGCACCAACAAACTGAGAATTACAACAGATAACTATCATAATCATCATAGATAGAAAGAAAGATATGAACCCAAAAAAATCTTCCATTAGGCCACCGGGCCAGCGATCCATACATTCAACGTTCATCTTTCGTTCATCAAACAGGCAACTGTGAAATCCTTAAACAACACGAAACACGAATTTGCAGAAAAAGCAATCCTGCATTTGAATTTTTTGTTATTTCTGCTAATTTGTTCAATCTGCTAATTTGATCGTCTTGTTAATAATTACCAGGTCTAGCGATTTTAAGAAAACTGTTGAGATTAAAGCTAGCAATGAAAAGGGCTCGCAAGTTTCACTCTCCGAATTCTTGAATCGAAAGCTGCATAAAAGCTCTGTCCTACCCGGATCCGCTCAGGTGAGTAATTATTAATATAATTCTTCTTCATTCTTCAGAAATGCAAACAAGGGAAAAGGAAATTGTAGAAATTTTCGTGTTTTATGATGTTCTGTCTTGGGTTTATTACTTGGAAAGTTTTAGTTAAAGATTGAATTTTTGTGGATTTTGGTGACAGATGGGGAGTATGGTAGCCTGTTGGCTTTTGTTTACTTAATTGAGCCCTGAAAGACACAGCATCCGAGGTTTAACAAAAATGTCTTGTATCTGAAAATGGTTTTGTTTTCTTGGTTTGGTTCTTTGCAGAGAAAATAGTGGACATGACTTGAACTTGATTGTAGCTGGCCTCTAATTGCTGGCTGATTTAATTCATTAGATTGATTAATGATTTCATCTGGACCCTACTGAAATATTAACCATTTGATGGCAATCGTGCAAGGGGTTTATTTCTTTAAGGGGAGGGTAGGATAGTGTTAAGCAAAATTGGGTGAACAGAAAGGTAGAAAAGTTTTTAATATAAGAAGCTGATGCCGTCCATTTCTTTGTTGTTTTACACATTGATTGCCTTGATATTGATATGAAGCTTCATTTTCTTTAACCTGACAAGAAAAGTTATTTTGGCAATTTAACCCAAATGGATTATTGTCGCAGGGGAAAGAGAGGCCATTTCTGTCCCCAGTCAGTTATAAGGATGTGAAGCCCCTAAAAGGAGAAACAAGCAAGAAGGAAATGAGCAATTGGGAGAAGGATTTCGCTGTTGATATTGTCCTTGAACAATTTAAGCACTCTACAGCAGAGACAAAAAGTGTAAATTCTTTAGGTAGTAACAAGCTTATGAGTGCCACCACAGGTGAATATGAGACACAGGAATTGGGAAAAAGAAAGAGAGGTTTGTTTTTACTCGTTTCATTAGTGAATGCAAGCCATCTATGGTTCCTTTTGCTTCTAAAGATTACTTGATCTTATATTGTTATAGGGAGCTATAATATTGTTGTTTCCATTGATGGTATTTCAACATGCAAAGTAATACATTTTCTGAGTATATTGAGTCAAACCAACTTCTTTCAGTTTCCGAGCCTTTTGGGCACTTTTTGTAGTTCCAACTAGGTTTAAGCAATTTATGCAGTGCTCGTCAAGAATTAGGTATATAATGCAAACTTAAATTTCTTTTAATAATCATGGTTCTAATGCTGCAAAATTCACTTAGATTGGAGAATTTTTTATTTAATGCGTCAAACTAGGAGACTGCTTACTGACCATAAAAGGTTGGCCAGGTAAATATGCGAATGTCTATGCTGTCTGTTACATTTCTTGTGTGTCAGAGAGGGATAGGGATTTGCTTTTCATGCTGTATATGGCACTGTCTACACCGAAAGGTGGCAAATTAACTACTAATCTTCTTCTAAAAGGTCTGAAATTGCAGGATGATACTTTGTGATTTTAGAGCAGGCAAATATTTAGGATCAGGTCAAGGCTCACCTTGTTAAGATTTTACATTTAACTGCTGCTCTTTTGAGTGTCCCTTTGTTTGATGGAAGATCTTAATTTTTCAACTTTAGTTGTGGGTTTCAGAACACGAGTGCAATACCTTACATTTCTGGGAGATTTGTGTCACAAGCATCTTTACTAAAGTCAGAATCTGAGCCGCTTCCATTTTGTAAAATGTAAGGTGATTATCAGAAACCAGCTAAAAAGCTTGTGGCAGTCCTTGGAGATGATTCAGTGACACGAGAGGAGGAAGAAGGAAGAGCTTGGCAAACCATGAGAAGCCAAAACTTCTGTTCAATCATTGTATGTCTAACTTCCAAGTAGTCTTCAGCTATAATTGAGTAGGAGTAAACTGCATTTCCAGTTTCCATGAAATTTTAACTCAGTCCATCTGGAAAAGATCACTCATATTCTTTTTTAACTGTTCATAACAGATGCAAATGGGGGTGGCTGGTGGGACGACAGTATGGAAGGTGTTGATAATGAAGAAGTAGGTTGTGCTGAAGTATGGGAAGGGATGGGTTCCACCACACTTGGGGGCTTGATTGGCACTGATCACTCTTACTCTTGTAAACTTGCAATTTGCTCTAGATATGTATATAGTTTTCTTTGATGACTGAAATGTTGGATTAGCTCCAGTTACTCTGATAATTTAACCATGCAAGGAAACTCTGTTTTTGCTAAAGGTAGAGTGTGTTCAAGTTTCTTATTTTTAGTTTTGGCATTGCTTGGGAAGTTGGTTTCAGACCACACACTGAATCTGATTCTTCAATTGTCATAAAAAATACCTGTAAATCCTTTCTTGCAATTTTCAGGATTCTTAAATTTTGAATAGCTTGTATGCAATTGTAGGAAAATCTACTCTGTTTTGTAGGAAATTCTTACTTATCAAACAAAGAAAGGCCTTTCGCTTTCTGGTTAAAAACTATGAACATGGCATGGAGCTTCTGCTAAAAATTTGAATTGAATAATCTTCCTAGTATTGTGCTCTAGACATTGTACGGACAAGGAAGAGAAGTTCACATGTTTCTTCTCCTTCACAAGCATCTTTCTTTTAGAAAAAATGAAATTATACAAATTGAAAGATCCACAAACAATTGGGGTGAGAGAGGCTCGAACTCTCGACCTCAGGATTACTCTCTAGCTATGAGACCTACGCGCTAGCCAACTGCGCCACCACCCCTTGTTGGTTGCGTGTTGCAATACCAAATAGTTAACAAAAGCATAACGAGCATCCTATTAAACAATGAAGCAGGGGGTATTTTTTTATCAGAATTTGTCCGTACACATAATTATAAAAAACATATCGTGTGAATGCATATGCTAATAATTATTGCCTACGCTTTCATATACTTTTTCAATTTAACTTTATTTTTTTTCAGAAAAACATGCAATTATGTATTAACGTGTACTCACTGAGCACTCACTAGACAAATCCATTAAATATTATCCAGTTATTTTGTATAAAAAAAAATTTACTTAGTTACCGTAACATCATTTACACCTTCATTGTTTTTTGACAAAATAAAAATAAAAATAAAAAGTGCGCGCGGAGTTTTTAGTCCAAACACATTTTGGAACGATGAATTTGTGTACCGAAATCAATGAGCCCATTCCAGCAGAGAAATCCACTATCCATAGCACCACCTGGACCTCAAGCTTAAACAATACGTGGCCCGCAATGAAATTACAAAAGACAGAACAAAATATATGGCAAACTCCTACACAAGATGATCAATGAAATTATTATAGCAAGACCTTGCACACCTCAGTGGATTGACATTTAATAATTCAACGCTCCATTTCAAGTGGACACTCGTTAATATATATTTTAGGTGTTAAATTTTTGAAAATATAAAATTAATTAGAAAAATTAAATAAATGCAAGGAGATTAATCAAGGAAAGTGTATAAATGTAAGAGAAAGTAGTAATTATTAGTGTATATATATATATATATATATGATAGGTTGGGTAGAATGTAGGTGTGTCAGACACCCGTTAGAAAAATCGATCGTTCAAACTCAGCGCTTTGTGTGGTAAGTTTAATCTTGAGAAGGTGCTAATAAATGAAGTTTGTTAAGCTCCATAATCTAATGGGATTAGAAGGTTTTGGTCATACAGGTGATTTGAATTTTATACCGACAGACTTTAGAATGGGATGATTGAATTGCACTTTGGCATCTAAAGCTTTTCTTCTTATTGTCATTTGGATGGAATCTAACTGAAGTGGTTGTGATTGGCAAGACTATAAAAAAAATTAAAAAAAAATTTTGTTGGTGGGCTTTAGCCATCATTCATTCCTTATCCAACCAAATTGTCATATTGGTGGTGGTGGCCGGTTGAAAGTCGTTGTGGAATGTGGATTGAGTTTGTGCATTTGAACTGATTGTGATTGTGAGTTTAGTCTAATTATACGGTTATGGACTTCTCATTCGTCATTAATAATCTTATCATGACGAATAAGTTGTAATTTCATGCTAAAAAATCTTTTTTTTTTAAAAAAAAATGTGATATATCAATCGTATCATGTGATTTTAACTAATCAACCATAAATGATTGAGAACTTGCCAATTCTTATAAATGGATATTTTCTTCTGTAATTAGATGTTGGATTTATCTAACGAATTTCCAATCGTTAGTATGTACTTAAAATATATTAACAAGTGCGCAACAGACACCGTTAAAATTTTTTTTAAAGTTTACCGCTTTACCTTTCTTTTGGCAACAGGGTGCTAAATTTTTCCGTGTTTCTGTAGTGGTATCGTACCCATGAGCATAAATGTCATACTTTCGTGCCAAGAGTCTTAGTGCTGTTCAGTCTATTGACAAGACATCATATTTTGTACATCTTGCAGTAATAGCTACAAACGGTCTTGAGAGAGACACTTATTTCAGCTGTTGTAAAAAGAATTGACCATTTCTCCTCTTTGAATGAATCTTCTTATTACTCCTTCTCTTTTTTTCGGAGAAACAATACGCACATAATTAGATTAAATATTTAGCGAGAATCGAAAGAACGGTCCAAATGAACAATCTAAAGGAAACTCACACAACAATTGAATTCAGCCAATTGATAATTGAACCGACCACATATAGACCTTAAACCCAGAGCTAAGCCTCGAACCACTAATAAGTTTGCTATGAATCTTGGAGGTTGTCAATTTTTGCTGTAGAAGCATGGTACTTTTTACGAGTGGCATTGGGACCATGTAACAAATCTTGTTGTTTGGATTGCAGCGGAGATTACTTTCCAAGCCATGAAATTCAGTCCAATTATTATTATCCATTTAAATTGAGAACTGCAAAAGGGCTCTTGGCTTTTCTCACGGGATGACAAGGAAAGGCATTAGTGGAGATCCCCATCCCATCTCTTCTGACATCTCTACTGTCAGAAAACTATTTTCTTGCACAACAAAAATTATTGGACTTCTACATACATGATTCAAGAATCATTTCATTGTGTCAACCGTTTTGGTTTTTTTTTTGTTTTATATCTTGCTAATAGAATACTTGATCATTTATTTTTTATCTGTTCATTTTTCGACAAATACTTAAATAGTGTTTACTTTGGTAGGCTAAGAAGGAGGTGTCCGATGATGGGGAAGGGGAAAGAAAGAAGCAAGAATAGGATTGAAATTGCTGAGAAATATGGAGCTTCAAAAGAAAGAAGCAAGAATAGGATTGAAGTTACTGGATCACAACGTCTTCTTGAAATTATTTAGTTCATTATTAGAGTTGTACATGTCTTGATCATTGACAAGTCAACATTTGATGAAAAAATTACCTGTTTTTACTGATCAGTTTGAATAGTTGATGCAACTAAGAAGTACTTAATTATCAGTTTAATTCTTTCTGAAAAGTGAAATATGGTATGGTTCTTTTAGCATTTACCACAAGTAAGTAGATAGCAAGCTCTAGAAAGAGAGAAAAGGACTTTAAATGGATTTCTATCTTTTAAGATTCAAGACAAGAGGCCAAGGAAGGCCAAAAATATGGACCATAAAATATAGTAGAAAATGATAGATTCAATGGATTTCTGTCTTTTAAGATTCACTCACAAAAAAAAAGAAAAAAAAAAAAAAAACAAATGAATCCAATAAAAAGGATCCTTAAAGAGTCATAAGAATTCGATACTTTTGTGTCATCCGTCGCCAATGGAATTTCAAGTTTCAACCATCGTCTTTTTTATATATATATATATATACATATTCTAGATCTCTCATTTACACTTCCTCCTCTTATACCATCCAATTCATCCCTCCCACCACCATCATCAAAATACTGAAAAAAGGAATAACAACTGACGTGTTAGGACAGCTAAAGCCTAAATTGTTGGAATTTAACTTCCTTTATATTTTCTTTGGCCAACAATTTCTGCTTTTAAAGTGAACGAAAGGATACAAGAAACATCCAACTAAACATAAGTGCATAACCTAGTGTATGTCTAGAAATAGAAATCCACATTCCACTAGACAATCATCATTAACCACTTCCATTCAAATGGCGATAATGTTCCCATCATAAGGGTGGGGCTGCTAATTTATTCCATTCTTAGTTAATTAATGCATAAAATTAATTAAATGGGTTCTGTTTGATTTCACGTTTTAACTTAATTATATGAATCAAAAGACATATATGATGTATTCGATGATGCATAAGTTTTGATAAATAATACCACAAAAGTTAAAGAAATCATCTAGCGGCTGCTCAAGGGGAAGGGAACACGTTCATAGGGCCCAAAGATTAATGTTTTAGAGAGTGACTTCATTGGAAGAAATGCCTACACTTTTGCATTCTTATCTTTTTGCATCTACTTTGATATCCTAAAAAAAAAATTCTATATATGGCCCGCAAGTGATTTACATGTACCAAATTATCAACTACATTTTATGTATGCAAAGAGGTAAGGGTATGATATCCCAAAGGCAAGTATTATTTGTATTTTTGCAAGATTGCTCAGCCAAATCGGCCACAATTAATGGTTTGTATTTGGTATTTGGTATGATAAAAATATTGTATATCCCAAAAAAAAAAAAGATAGATATCTTTTTATATTATTATTATTGAGGAAAATAAGTGGATTATTTGACAGATTGCTTAAGCAGATGTCATCAAGTAACTTAATCCAATCACTTGAGAGATGCTTCACAACTTCTGTTTGTTGTTACTTG